ATTCATGGGGTTGGCGGGCTACTATCAGCGATTCATCACCGGATACTCCAGGATTGCTACACCTATGACGAGGTTACAGTCGCCAAAGGTGCCATTCGTATTCGATGACGACGCACGCCGGTCATTCCAAGCACTTAAGACGGCTATGCTCATGGCACCCGTCCTTAGCATCTATGACCCCACCCTGCCGACGCGAGTGACTACGGACGCTTCCGGCTATCGCATTGGGGCAGTCTTGGAACAGCACGACGGCGACGACTGGCACCCTATGGAGTATTTCAGCCACAAAGTGCCTCCCATCAACTCGCTTGATGATGCAAGGAAGAAGGAGCTGCTCACATTCGTGATGGCTCTCAAGCGCTGGCGACACTTCCTCCTTGGGCGTCGTAGGTTCACATGGGTCACAGTCAACAATCCATTGACCTACTATAAGACGCAGGACACGGTGAGCAGCACGATCGGACGATGGATGTACTTCATCGACCAATTTGACTTCACACCGAAACATGTCCCCGGCCTCTCCAATCGCGCAGCAGATGCACTCACGCGAAGATCTGATCTTTGCGCTATGACACATCATGCCTTCGCATTTGACGAGGAGCTTCAGCGACACTTCATTCGGGCATATCAGTCTGATCCGGACTTCGGCACGCTCTATGCACAGCTATCTTCGGATCACCCGCCGACCAGCCATTACCGCATTGCCGACGGGTACTTGCTCCTCCACTCGAGAGGCAAGGACTTACTATGTGTCCCGCGCGACCGTCGTCTTCGGACTCGCCTCCTCGGCAAGTATCATGATTCACGACTCACCGGTATTTCGGAGTCAACCGCACTATTGCACGGCTTCAACAGCGATTCCGATGGCCCGACCTCATTACCGATGTCACTCAGTATTGCGACTCTTGCGAAGTTTGCCGACGCAGCAAGCCCCGCAACCACAATCCCTACGGCGAGTAACACTCGATGCCTATCCCACGGGAACCCGGTCTCTCCATCGCCATGGACGTCACCGGACCGTTTCCTCGCGACCGGCTCGGGCACGACGGCATCCTCACGGTTGTGGACCGATTCAGTAAGTACTCGCGTTTTCTCCCTTGCAAGTACTACTCCTTGGCTCCCGAGCTGGCACGCCTCCTGCACATTGGTTGGATTTGTGGCCACGGTGTACCAGAAGACATTGTCAGCGACCGCGACACTCGTTTCATGTCGGCGTTTTGGAATGCGCTCATGCAGGAGTCCGACACAACAATGAAACCAAGTTTGGCTCGACATCCTCAGACAGACGGGCAGACGGAGCGGGCACATCAAACCGCTCAAATGATGCTTCATACGCTCATCCGTCCGGACCAGAAAGATTGGGTTGACCGCCTCCCCGACATCGAGTTCGCCTACAAGACTTCGGTGCATCCGGCGATCGGCGTGACTCCATTCGAGTTGCACCACGGTGGACGGAAAGGCCGGATCTTCACCGACCTTCTCCTCCCTCGACCAGCCAACATTGACGCTGCCTGCTCTCCCGCTTCCGTCCGAAAGTACAGGGAATTGCTGACTCAAGCCCTCGCAAATATGCAAAAGGCTCAAGTCCGCATGCAGCAGCAAGCCTACAGGCGTCGCGTACCATGTCCCATCCGCGCCGGTGATCTGGTTTGGGTCTCCGCTGAAGAGTTTGCACTGGAACAGGATGTTTCACGCAAACTGCTTCCCAAGTGGTTTGGACCTTGGTCTGTGACAGCAGCCGAGGGCGATGAGCCCGATGGCCATTCATTTGTGATCAACATTCCAGAGCATCTGACGGTCCATCCGGTCTTCCAAGCCTCGAAGCTGGCAACATACACGCCAGCCAAGAGCGACGACTTTCTGGACCGACGATCGCAGGACCCTCCTTCTATGGATGGCCATCTGGAAGTTGACCGCATCATCTCCGATCGCAAGTACGGCAGCAAGCCGCGGCAGTACAAAGTCACATTCAAAGCATGCGATCACGACGACACTCCGTGGATTTCAGGCGCAGATTTGAAAGCATCCGCACCGCTGATCTACGCGCATTATGAAAAGCGGAGGTTAGCTCAGGAAGCTTCACGACAAGCCCCTCCGACCCTAACTGTGGTCCCTCCCTCAGACAGACAGTTTCGCTCTCGCAGGTAAGCTCGGTTCTTCAAGGAGGGGGGGGTGTGGCATAGTGCGTAGCCACACGGGCCCTGCAGGGCCCGTCCCGGACATTCAGCCTAAAAGCCGAAAACTTAGGGCTTACAGGCCCCGTTCGTTTYAGCCTTAAAGCTGAAAAACGAGGGTCTGCAGGCCCTACCCCGTTTCAGCCTATTTCTGGGTCTTTTCAGACCCAGAGTTTTCAGCCTGAAACGGAGGGCCATTTTCAGGCCCTCATTGTTTCGACCTGCCCCTAAGACTCAGGCACGTAAACAGGGATGCGGAACAGGTCAGAAATAGCCTGTTYCTCACGAGTTTGAGCAGGAGCTGCGGCTGCAGCCCCTGCCTCCCTTCGGCATGCTCAGGARGCACACCMGGTAGTACATAGGAAATTCCCATGCACTTCACGGGTAGGTAGTTCAATAGGCACAAGGTAGTCTTTAGGATTTCGGCCGCAGCACTCAGGAGGAGCGCTGCAGTAGTCCTCAACGCTAGGTGGTATTAGCGCTAGCTGTAGTCTTCGGCGCTGGGTGCCATAGCTRTRGCTGTAGTCTTCAGCGCTGGGAGCTGGTAGTTGGTAGATCGTAGAGTGGGAGAGAGAGACTGGCGGAGGCCAGTGGTACTTACCTGTGGCGCCATCGCTCCAGCTCCATCTTCGTGGTACCTGCATCAAGACGCCAACTTCACAGGTTAGTACTGGACACAGAGAGAGAGAGTTCTTCTTCTTCCTCTTCTAAGTCCACCTTCTCTTCTCACCCTCTCGCCACCTGACTTCTTAGACTACGACAGAGAGAGACAGAGTTGTGACTTGAGACTTGACGACATTGGATCCAGACTTGACATTTGGGATTCAGACATTTCGACGAGGGACTATTTGGGCTTRTGCCGAAGACTTGGTGTTGACGACATTCCCATCTTCCCCCTCCTCTTCGTTTATCCCCTTCCTCTTCGTCTGTGTATGGTATGGGCTGGCGCAGTCTTCCTGTGTGAAGCGCGAGGCCCATTTCACACCATGTAATGACGATGATGATGTATGTTCAGGGCTGCATTGCAACATGATTGTTCGGATCATAGGTATCTGAGTCTTCCGTTGTTCTATCTTATACTTTGTATTGAAAGGTCGGTTCTTGTTCTGGTCTGCACGTTACAATATGCAACATTAGGGGTGGGAGTATGTAGCCATAGCCTGTACGGCGGCTGTCATGCAGGTTATATGGAAACTGAGAAATGATAGTTTGTTCAAAAATAAATTCTACTCTGACAGGGACATCAAGAACATGGTCCTGTATGGGGTGCGGTCCTTGGTATGGTCAGATTGGAGGCGCTCTACAAAAGCTTGTAGTAAGAAAGCAGACAGGGAACGTTTCTTTCGGAGCTGGGGTCAGAAAGGTAGATTCTTTAAATTAAAGACCATGGGCATCATGTTGGAACCTTGGTTGATGGGGCCCAGTCACTAGTGTTCTGGTACCTATACTTAGCGATTAGTGGAGGTCCAATGAAGCCTGGTGAGAGATTACTCTGATTTTTCAGGATGACATACAGGAATCTAGGTTGATGATATAATCTCCACTGAGTGTATCATCTCGAATTCTTACGACGATGCCTATGTACTGGATAGGACTAGGATTCAAGGCTTGATCTGGCGCCAGAAAGTACCTGGGACAGCAGATGAGTAAGTTGGATGAATATGTTGTCTTTGGTTCTATGATTGTTCCATAAGGGACGCTGGACCCGGTTTCCAGCAGGTGCAGCTCCCCACGAATAGACGGGAGCCATCTATCATCGCCCGTCCYTATCACTTGGSGCTCTAACACCCAGGTGGGAGGGGCTGATGTCGGCCTGATGTTAACTGAAAAAAATAAAAATAAAAAAAAATCACTAAAACAAATTCAACAAAATCAAATAATTTTTAGGCCCCAAAATAAGTTTTGGCAGGGGCCCAACCTGTTCAAGTTCGGGGGTCAGCCCGGGGCCCCCCGAATGTTCGGTCTGGCAACCATGTGTATATATATATATATATATAAATTTATAATATATATATATATACAGGGTAACAGACGTTCGGGACAGGCAGAACGCTTGAACCCGAACGCCTGAACGTATGGGACCCTTTTGGGATGCGTTCAGCCTTTCGGGCCGAACGCGGACCCCCCCCCAAAAAAAAAAAAAAAAAAAAAAAACATTTCAAAGAAATCTGAAAAAACGATATATTATGTAGAACAATAAGTTAAACAAGATTTGCCTGAGCATTACATCCAAATTCTTTACCAAATTTGAAATAAAAATGAAATACGGAGAACAAATACTAATAATAAAAATAACAAAAAATAAAAAGAGAATTCAATTTAGTGAGTGTGAGAGCACGTTTTCGACACCACCATCTTTGGCGATTTTTTATTTTTTTTTTATGCATTGCCAAATGCCCTGAAAATTTATGGATGTGTACTTCACATAATACAAAAGCCACTAAAAAAGTTTCAAAAAAATAATAAAATTGTTTAGACCCCTAGCTAAAATAAAAACAAAAAGTAAAAATTGAAACAAAACGTGGGCGAGCACGTTTTGACATCGCCATCTTTGGGGATTTTTCATTCTCATTTGCCTAGGCCAAATGACGTCAAAATACAAAGGCATGTACCTCACGTCAGAGAGAGCGGACAAAAAAACGTCAGGTAAAATAAGACATTTTGAGGCCCCGAAATATTTTTTGGCGGGAAACAAATGTCGTCCGGTACAAGCCCCGTATGGGACCCCGAACGCCCGTACGTACGGAGGTCGGCCCGGGGACCTCTGTACGTACGGGCTGTTGACCCTGTAATATATATATATATA